AGAGAGAGAGAGAGAGAGAGAGAGAGAGAGAGAAATAGTTGCGAGGGGGAGAGAGGGAAGAAAAAAAAGGGGGCGGGGGGTGCCCAATACGAAGGAGCGCCTACAGTGGATTATACAGTGTATGTGTGAAGGTCTCAAACTTTGGGCGAAAGAACTGAGGCGGCAATTAACACTGTAGGTGGTGGCGATAGAGGAAGTGGGAGAAAAGAGAGAGCTTTCTGGGAATGTAGGAGGGGAGAGAGAGAGAGAAATGGAATGTCGAGGTTATGATGTACATATTCCTCGACCCAATTTATTTTTTAAAATCATTTAGGAGATGTCTAGACGAACCGAGTTTGTTTGTTTGTTTGTTTAAGTAAAGATGAGCACATGGCAAAATAACGGCAATTTATTCTTTGGAAAAAATACAGACAGACAAACAACAACGAAAAAAAAGCACAGACAGACAGAAAAAAGAAACAACAGAGGGAAAGTAAAGAAGTAGCAGCTCCAAGAGACACCCTCCATCCACCCACCCACCCACAGGCCGCCCGAGAATGTGAAAGTAAAGTAAAGTTGTTCCCTCATCCGATCTGGACATTGGGGATTGCCTTGCTAGTGAGACAACTTTCTGGGCCTTCGGCGTATTGTGGTAGGGTGGCCAGTTCCTTTCCACGCCGCCTTTACTTCCCCAACTCGAAGTCATGTACCCATCACTGCTGGGTGGCCAGTTCCTTTCCACGCCTCCTTTACTTCCCCAACTCGAAGTCAGGTACCCATTACTGCTGGGTGGCCAGTTCCTTTCCACGCCGCCTTTACTTCCCCAACTCGAAGTCATGTACCCATCACTGCTGGGTGGGAAGGAGTGGGCCAAAAAAATCCGTGTCTGAACCGAGGCTCGAACCCGGACTTTCTGATTCGGAGTCGAGCGCACTAACGGCTCCGCCACCACGCCCTTTACAAGGTACAATCAAGAAGGTTACAATAAGCTCCTTCAGCACCCAACCAAAGTTCAAAAACTCACCCTATGGGATCTGAACCAGGTTCATCCGTACCACAGCTCAGCATGGTGTCAACCCCAAGGCTTTTCTTATGGCCTGACAGACGATCTTAAAGCAATGTGTAAGATATAGTTTTGCCTGGGCGGTAGACATAGAGGAAGTAGACTGCCCTAAAACTACTTCCCTTCCTTCAGATCTCGACTTCCTTGATAATATGCTCCAAAGGAGAGGCGTCCGTCAATATGTTTGGAATCAAGGCAGGTGTATGGGTGTGTCTTACTATTTTACAGGTGTTACAGAGATTCTTTTTTTCTTCCTTATTTATATATTTATTGATGTCTTTCAATCTTTTTATTTATTCATGTATTTATTTATTTATTTATTCATTCATTTATTTATTTATTAATACAATTCCTTTGGGGGTGTGGGGGTGGGGGAGAGAATCATTAAATCTTGAATATTTCCAGCTAAATATTACAATAAAATAATATTAAATTATTATCTAGGCGATATCAAAAAGCCTGCAGAGAATCGGAATCTTTGATCCATAACATTGCTCCCAAAGTTGTTAAACTAATGAAGGTTCATGGAAGGAAACCTCCCTGCGTGTATACAATTAGGCAGATATCAGCTCAAGAGCAGAAGTGAATGTCCTGTTGTCTGGGTGCTTATGCACGTGCGGAGGAGGAAGATTTTATTTTTTTGTATTTTGG